GAACTCAACACCATGATGATGACACACCTCTGTTGGCAGGTGGCCCCTGTAAGTCTCCAGACAGCCATGATTTGGCAGTCCTACCTCTGCCCCTGCCTCGGCCACGAGAGCTGGATGCTGATTAGGTCACTTTTCTTTTCACTGGGCCTCATCCTCTCAGAGGTGATCAATGTTTGTCCAGACGAGCAGGCAGCCACCCTCGACCTGTTGGCAATGAAACACATGCACACCTTCTCCCCTAGGTTAATCAGCTGGGCCTTGCCATTGCACATCTAATTGGGAATCTTTATGTTGAAGCTTTTAGAAATTGGTTCTGTACATGCAAATCTTCAGAGCAGTATCGCTCTGCTGGGGACTAAATTTGATTATTTGTTTTCAAAACTTCTAGTGTAAATTTTGCATTATCTAAATGTTCTTGAAGAGCTGTACACCTTTTTTGGGGTTTTTTTTTTACAACATGCACATTTCTCACTATGCACATGAAAGTAAAACAATACACATGGTAAAGCAACAAACTCACACTAAGCAGACATAGGCAAGGAAATACACTAAATCAGTAGCACACGAGAGATAGGATGGTAATTAAAAATTATACATTATCAGTTCCCTAAATACTGTACTATCACCCAGAGGTGGGAACAGCTGACAAGCCTCATTTTTAGTGAGGACAGGGAGAACCATGCCCAGGTAAGGTTTCCAAGTTCACTTTAAAAGAAGTGTCATGAGTCCAAATGGGCAAGTCAAAGTGACTGGAGTATTGTTTTTATGCAAAAAACACAAGGGTTTGTCAGAGTACTGCCTGACCAGCTAGAGCCATGGCTTGTCCAGAGCCAAGGCCTTACCTGGAAAGGTCTCCCTAGCACACCTTAAAAACAAGCCTTTCCTTAACAGCAGCTAGGAAAGTTTCCTAAAATGGTGGATGTCTTGCAGATAGTTATAAAAAGACATGTTAAATCTCATAAAGCAGACAGCTTGTCATTTATCCTCAGTTAAATAGTATCTCATGGACAATACCTGTCATAAGAATTCAGTGAATTCATGTCATGACATTAAAACAGAATAAGAGTTAAAGAAAGAAACTACTACACCGCTTACAACTAAGAACAGTCATGATCTGGAATTGTTACTCATTCTTCAGTGTTACCAATGGAAGATAAAACAGCAGCGATTGTTAAAAATAATTATGTCAATTAATCAGTGTGAAACATTTACATTCACAAAATCCTTGATGACATTAAGGATTTCAGAAACTGTATTTTCACATATTTTACACAACTTATTATCTTATATTTTTTAACAGGTGGCTACTAATGTTTCATCAGTTATTTCAGTTGGTTTTATCTTATCGCTATAACAAAATAACTGCATCTTGTAATTCAAATGAGCAGACATTAACAGAAATTAATCTTAACAGAAATTAGCAGATCTTAAATTTAACAGAACCTTAACCTGCCAGAACTCAAATGTAACAGAACTTCAAAGTAACAACATGCAGGCAAACAATTGCTTTATAACTGAAATAGCAGTAACATGGATTTACTGGAGAGATTATAAAGGTGTGCCAAATATATTGTGATTTTATGCATTTGTAGCAAGGATTTTTCTGATGTAAGTAACTCTTTACTAGAGTTTTGGTTTTGGTTTTGTTTTGTTGTGTTTTTAAAGTGCAGCTTTACTCAGAAAAAATGACAACAGTGTAGTTTTTGGCAAATTGCCCTGCAAACCTGCAGTTTTTGAGATTGCCTGTACAATAGATTTGAGCTTGGCCTTATAAAGGTCAATGGGGTATAAATATTCAAGGCTAAAACAATAAGAACTTAGTTATATAATGCCATGAGTTTTACACAAGTAACTTGGTTACTTTAGTGGGTGTGTAAGACTGATAAACTGTTTTCATACCAAAAGATTCACAATAAAATTACCTTGTTAAAGCTGCGAGGTAAAAAGCAAGCGAACTGGTAACACTGGGATAAGTTTGTCTGCCTTTGCAGAGGAATTTCACATTGTAATTATAACTAAGTCTTGAAGAGCAACTGCAGATAAAGTTCAAGGTTTGCCTGGAATGTGAGCAAAAGAATGTCAAATTTATGACTTGTGCCAACTGCAGGCTTGAAAGTTAATTGTTGTTCCGTTAACATCGACCTAAAATATTTGCAAGGAGGGATCCCAGGAGGCACTGTATCTTACAAATATGAACCTTCTTGTCCATCAACTGAAATATTACCCATTTGCAAATATTTTTACAGGCATGTAAGATTTTGATTACCATGGTAATAGCTAACACCATTATAAATTAGCAAAGAATCAGTGTAAATTCAGTTCAATCAGACCTCAAATCAAAATTCCTGAAAAGGGAGCACACACTCCACAGGGCAAGCTCCACCAATCACGCAATATATCAGTGTCTCTGCCAAGGAACCCAGATCCTGCCCAAGTGCTGGGCAGGGTGGCTGTACCATCCAGGGGCTCCAGAGGGTATGGGGAGCTCTGACAAGCTGGGGGGCTTTCAAGCCCAGGGGATCCAGGTCCCAGAGCGAGTGGGGTCCCATCACTGCCATCCCAGACATGGAGGTGGCATGGTGGTGGTGGCCACTGTGGCTGCAGGGCCTGATGCTACTGTGGGGCTGTGCCATGGGCAGGGGTATCAACCCATTCCCAGAATCCTTGTCCTGGATCCATGCCCAGAGTTCATTATCTATGTCTGTCTAGGACTCCCTGCTGCAGCTGCACACAGGAGTTTTTAACATTGAGGTTTCTCTCATCTAGTAAAAAGGCACAGGGTTTTCTAACCTGTACTAAAAGCTGCTCCAGTGTGGAGAAATGACTGTAATATCTGTAAGGGTCTGCCTTGCCAAGCTGCTCCATCCCATCATTGCAACCTAGCATCCTGGTGCTTTGGTCTGTGGGGCTTTGTTGTTGGCCCCAGGCCTCTTCCTCACCATAATCCTTCCTCCTGTCGTTCATAGGCAGAGGAAGATAGAACAAATTTTGGAAGGGGGGAGATTAAACAGAGGAGCTCTCATGAGTTGGGCAGTGACGACAGCGGCAGCAACCTCTGCCTATCGACTTTGAATTGCAGCAATGAGTCCCAAATCAAGCCCCACATTGTTAGTCTTCTTCTGGCTATTTCATGGCCCTTGGTAGCTGCTTGCCATAACATTTGCCCTGCTTCCTCCCATGTTCTGACAATAAAGGCAGTCTGCACATCAGTCTGTACATTCACACTCGCCTATTTCTCTTGCACCAAATGAGCAAGGTGAGTAGCGCCCGCTTCTCATATGTGACACCTCTCTTCTGTAATATTCACAAAAGAATGTTCAAATCAGATTTTTCTTCTGCTGATATTTGAGCCCCCATGTCTCTGATCCCAGTTGCTCACCTGGAGTCAGGTGTCTCTGCTTTCTTAAATCGTCCAGACTTTCAGTCTCTCAGGTCTGCCTGTTTTGCTTGACTGAGCTCCACCGCTGGCTGCTCTCAGGTCTGCAGTCCTGACCCTAACACATCCAGGGTCACCATTTAATGGTGGACACAAGACTGACACTGAAGATGGTGGCAAGAATCAAAAGCCCACCTTATTGCAAAAGCCAGGCTTTTCTAGCAGTTAGCTGGTTATCAGTGTACACAGTTTTAAGGCACAACAAGCCCAAGTCAGCCAATCACCATACACCACGATGGGGACATGCAGCAGTCTCTGCAGCACGACTCTCACCTCTCTCTCCCCCTATTCCAGGTGAGTCCCTCTCCCACAGTCCTCTTCTGCTTAGCCAAAGCAGCAGGCCTGAGCCATGATTTCACAAGGGCAACAAGGCCCTTATTTCATCAGGCTTCACCTGTAGACAATAGGATATGGACCTGCATGGACTGTCAGCCCAACCCAGGATAATTCTAATCATGGAATGGTTTGGGTTGGAAGGGACCTTAAAGGTCATCCAGTTCCAACCCCCCCTGCCATGGGCAGGGACACCTTCCACTAGATCAGGTTGCTCAAAGCCCCGTCCATCCTGGCCTTGAACGCTGCCAGGGATGCAGCATCTACAGTTTGTCTGGGAAACCTGTTCTGGTGCCTCGCCAAACTCACAGTGAAAAATATCTCCCCAACATCTAATCTAAACCTACCCTCACTCAGTTTGAAGCCATTCCGCCTTGTCCTATCACGACATGTCCTGATAAACAGTCCCTTCCCAGGTCTCCTGCAGCCCTGTTAGATTCTGGAAGGCTGCAGCAAGGTTTCACTGCAGGCCTCCCTTCTCCAAGCTGAACATCCCCAGTTCTCTCCCTGCAGCCTGCCTTCACAGAAGAGGTGCTCCAGCCCTCTGATCATCTTTGTGGCCTCCTCTGGACTCCATCCAAAAGGACCATGTCCTTCCTGAGCTGGGGGCTCCAGAGGTGGATGCAGTAATGCTCCGAGGAAGCTGCATTTTAATAAGCATTTGACTATATTAGTCCATTCAACTCACACCACCCACTTTTTGCAGGTTTTATCTCGATGAAAGTTCAAAATCAATTTACTGGAGATACAATTAAGTTTAGAACTGCAGGGGGAAACGACGCTTTTGTTTTGCATTGCTCTTTGTCACGGGACAGAGCTAGCGGAACGCTGCAAATTGTGGCTGTAGGTTTATAACAAGCACCTGTCACAAGGCTGTTTCTGGCACGCTGACACTTAACTGCTGGCCTCAAAAGTGTACTGCTTGCCATTTTCAAGCATGGGATTTTGCAATATGAAGAGGTGAAAGTGGCTGAGTATTTTGAGTCACTAACCAAACCACAGCTAACTCAACAAGGATCAAAATTCAGTAACCAAAGACTCCGAACAAGGACTTACCTGAAGGAGGTAACCAGAAAGAGAAGAAATAAGTGAAAACTTCAGAGACGGCTAGTTTAAAAGAAAATCATTGGGAGAAAAGATTGGTAAAGGAGTTTCACGGTTATAATGACGGGAAAGTGTTTGGGACTTTCGGTCACATTTTGCTAAGGGTGTTCATCAAAATGGTCCAAGGAAACACTGGAAGGTTTTGGGTAATGCCGGGAGGCCTTGATTTCCCAGGCACAGCTCAGCGAAACAAGTTCCCACTCACGGTTGGACACAAAAGATTTCTTTAGCTAAGGCACCAGCAAAGGCGATGCGGCAACTGAGGCGTATCACTGACTTCTCTGCCCCAGCTTCATGCCCCTCGCAGATCCCACCCGAAACCCGCGGCTTTGCCCTTGGGAAGCACAGTTTGGCGATGGAAGCCAGGCCCTCTCCGCCGGCCGGTGGCAGGGCAAGGTCCCGGCGGGGACGGACCGTGGGGGTTCCCGGCCGGCCGGCGCTGCCTCGGGGACCAGCGCTGCCAACTTTCTTTCTGCATCGCCTGGGCTCGCTGGGACGCCGCGTCCCCGCCGGAGGGGATGGGAGGAGGAGGCTGGGGCTGTTCGAAGGCCGTACCTGGCGGGGCCGGGTCCCCTCGGGGCCGGGGGCCCCGCTGCCCCGGGAGCGCCTTGACCCCGCCGGCACCGCCAAGGTCACCGCCCCGACGTGTCCCCCGTCCCCCGGCCGCCGCTGCCCCGCCGCCGACACCGGAGAGTTTAAAGAGGCTTTTCTTCCCCGGGAGCGGCGCCTGAGGGAAGGGGAAGGGGCAGGAGGGGGCAGGCAGGAGGGACAGGCGGGAGGGGCGGGGAGAGGCTGGCAGGGCAGGAGCCGGGCGGGGTGCTGGCTCCAACTGGAAAGGAACCGGTCCCAGCCCAGCCGGGGAGGCTGCGGGAGAGCCGGCAGCGCTGGGCAGAGCACGCCGGCCCCGGTCCCGTCCCCGTTCCCGGCCCGAGCAGCGCCGCCCGCCATGGGCACCGCGCCCCCCGTCAGTGCCGCGGCCCCGGGGCGGGCGGGGGCGAACCGCGGGAGGGACGGGGGGCTCTGGGGGGCAGGATCGAGCCCGTGTCAGATGTGGGACGGGAGGACTCGGGTTGGGGACCTGCAGCCTGGGCGGGGGTCAGGGAGGAGAGGGTGAGAGCAGCGGGGCTCGGGGAGGATGGTGATGCAGAGCCGGTCTGTGCCGCGGGCATGGCTTCCCGGAGGCACAGTCCTGCTGGGAGACTAATTCCGAGTTTGTGCTGCAGAGTGGGTCTGTGAAGGCGGGGAAGATGCCAGAAGGGGAGAAAATGGGACAATGTAAGCAAGAAGAGGAGCAGCAACAGAAAGAGGAGCGGGAGGGTCTCATCGAATTCTACAGTTCCTACCAGGAGCTATTCCAGTTCTTCTGCAGCAACACGACCATCCACGGGGCTATCCGCCTGGTGTGCTCCAAAAAGAATAAGATGAAGACAGCCTTCTGGTCAGTCCTCTTCTTTCTCACCTTCGGCTTAATGTACTGGCAGTTCGGGATCCTCTACAGGGAGTACTTCAGCTACCCTGTCAACCTCAACCTCAACCTGAACTCCGACAGGCTGACTTTCCCGGCCGTGACGCTGTGCACCCTCAATCCGTACAGGTAAGAAATACACTTGCAGAGATGTTGACTGCCTTGACTTTGATGGGTGCGGGATAAAAGCACCTACTCTGGTTCTCCTCGTGGTCCTCGACTGCCCGCTGGTGTGGCTGTGCCGGTGGAAAGGACGCTTTTCAGAGGCCTTTGCTGCTGCTGCTGCTGCGGGGCACTCACAGTCCAGCATGTGAGCTCAGGCATGGTGTATAGCAGGCTGCGATGTAACCTGCCACAGGGCTACAGCAGATTTGCTTCTCCCTCCAAGATAGCCTCCAGCAAGGGGTTAGATTTTTACAGCTAGTGGCAGGAATCACCCCAGCAAACTCTGCTGCCTGTCTTATTCAGAGTTGTTGTTTGTGTGCACCCAGCCCTAAACCTGCTGCTCCTCTCCCCCCCCTGTACAGATACAGCGCCATCCGTAAGCAGCTGGATAAGCTGGACCAAATCACCCAGCAGACACTGCTAGACCTCTATGACTACAACATGTCTCTGCCACAGAGAGACTGGTCCACATCGTCCTCACAAAAGCGCAGCTCAAGGAGCCTGCTCCATCACGTCCAGCGCCATCCTTTGCGGAGGCAGAAGCGGGACAACATAGTCAACTTGCCAGAGAACAGTCCCTCAGTGGACAAGAATGACTGGAAAATTGGCTTTGTTCTGGTGAGATCCCTAGATACCCCGTGCCCTACCCACTCCAGTCTGCCTGGCTGCTTTTGTCTTGTTAGACCCTTGGCCATGCCTTTCCTTACGTAGAAGTCTGATTAATCTCCACTGGCTTTTGCTACTGACAGATAAAGGTAGAGCTGAATCCTTTGCTCCATACAATCCTGCTCCCCAAATTCTATCCATGTTCATGCAGGCCCCAGGGACATGTCCAAGTCAGTGTATATCTCTTCCCAAGAGCAGGAAAACCTTGTCCTTCCTGAGGGTACATCAGCCTTGCAGTTGCCTTTGAGAGCAGTTTATCAGCATCAGCTGCTGCATTGCCCAGTAATAGCAAAGGAGAAAGTATTTGATGGTCCTGGGCCACCTGAAAGCTGATCACGGTCGCAATTGCTCCTAGGTAGCAGCTTCCTCGCCCTAGGGTATTTGTGTTTGCATTTAAAAAGGTACTGAAGGACTGAAGCTAATCGCTCAGCAGTTAACTGGGGTTCCCACAGGATCACAAAAGTTTTTTCTGGACACACCCTGAAGGAAGGGCTCCCCATGCAAGAATTTAAAGCTCTTGGTTTTACACCAGGTAGAATTTATGTGCATATTACCCTGTACACCTTGCTGCCTCCTGGGTCTTACTCAGCCTCGCTTATTCACCTGGCGTCGCCCTTCCACCCAGGAGCTGCGCTGGGTTTTTTTTTTTTTCCATCTGATCACACTCAGGAGTCCTGTGGAACTCTTCACTTCCTCGGTCATCCCCTTGTGCTGAGGGAGCACAGCTTATCCACGGGCAGATCCTTGTCTCCTGGGTGAGAAGACTTCTCTGACATGGTTCTTCTTTTTCTTCTCAACAGTGCAATGAAAACAACGACTGTTTCCATCAGGCGTACTCCTCGGGAGTGGATGCCGTGCGGGAGTGGTACAGCTTTCACTACATCAATATCCTGGCACAGGTGCCTGATGCAAAAGCCCTGGACGAGTCTGACTTTGAGAATTTCATCTATGCTTGCCGCTTCAATGAGGCAACGTGTGACAAGGCGTAAGTAGTGGCAACGCCCCTGAAAACACCTATTTTGTGCCTGGGCTCGAGGGGAATCAAGGAACCCACATCAGAGAACCTCTTTTCCGAGGTGGGATCATTCCTTGTTCAGTTCCCATTTGAAAGGTCAAAAATTATCTTTCTTGGGTCTTTTGTGTGGGTTTTGCATATCAGGGTCACAGGTTCTGTGGCCTGGAAGCATGAACCTCGAAGGATGGCTTTGCCTTTTTCTGGGTTTCACACAAACAAAATAATTATACTGGTACAAACACCAGAGAGGGCACAGATGTACAGCGTAGAGGTATTTATATTCTACCCTCCACAGTGGTAAAGTACATATCAGCCCACAAAAAGGAATAAGAGAAGAGAGAGTTGACACAAAAACACAGTAAGAACATATCCCGCTTTTCTCCTGTCATTATTGGTCAAAAAGCCCCAAGGAGGTAGTGGAATGAAAACAATATGCAAGGAAGGAAAAGGGGTAGGAAAATCTAAGAGGTTCATAAGTATTAGGAAGATAATACAGTAATTGCTAGCACTGCTAAAACCCATTTGGGCTCTGAAAAGCAGCATGAAAAACCTCGTGTAAAAACCTGCCTAGCTCCAGGACATTTTTTACAGCACATTTTAATTGCTTTTCCCTGTTCATGAGAGTTTACATAACAAATACTGCCCATCTGCTGTAAGCCCCTGTCCCTGCTGATGGAAAACAGAGCTGTTTCCTTTCAGAAAGCCCTTCCCCTTGGTTTCACAGCCCTTCTCACTCTGTTTCTGTTCCCCTTTCAGGAACTATACCCACTTCCACCATCCTTTGTATGGCAACTGCTACACCTTTAATGACAACAGCAGCAGCGTGTGGACATCCTCCATGCCTGGGATCAATAATGGTGGGTGAGAGGCACTCTTTGGTGAGTAAGGAGAACAGCTTAGCTCTGTTTTCCCTAGGAGTTATTATGGGCATCCTGCTGTGATTAGTACTGGTGGTGGCAGATTGCAGCCCTGCTCTGTCTCGCCCAAGCTGCTTTCACCCATCTGGAGACAGATGTCTCAGGGACATGGCTGCCCCTCACCACTGCCCACTGAACTCTCTCTCCCTCATCAATGCCTGATCCTTATGCTCTTTGTGCCTTCTGGACTTGTGCTGGCCCTTCCTAAAGTTCTGTGCTGAGCCACAGTACTCCTGGTCTTCATCTTTCCCATTTTCCCCTTCAAGAAACTGACCTGTTTGTGTTCCTAAACCCCCTGACACCTATCCAGACCCAATCTTCAGGCTTTTCTTCCATCTGGCTTCAAGTTTATCCATGTAATCTCCTCAGTTCCCAGTTCTGTTTTTTCTAAGCCACAGTGATTAAATCCAGTTTTCACTGGCCTCTTCTGGAGTGTCCAGCTTTTCCTCTGGCCTCCCTCCAACCACCCTCTATTGCTGCCAGGCTTTGGTGCAGCCCTGGGTGATGTCTGTCTTCTCCTTTATCTCTTTCAGACTTCCTTCTAACCATCCTGCTCTGCCTTCTGTGCTGCACCACAGCTGGCCGTGACCTCCCTGGCTCTCCGATGTTCCCTCAGGTCTCTCTCTGGTGGTGCGCACTGAGCAGAATGATTTCATCCCTCTGCTGTCCACGGTGACAGGAGCCAGGGTCATGGTCCATGACCAGAACGAGCCAGCCTTCATGGACGACGGGGGCTTCAATGTTCGCCCCGGCATCGAGACCTCCATCAGCATGAGAAAGGTGAGCAAGCAGAGGAGGGAGAGCTGTGGGTGGGAGGTTTAACTCGGTGGACCTACGGTGTGTGTTTAAGGGAAGGGACTAATCACATGGAGTGAAGGGAGAGGAAGAACAGCTCGCTGGACTAGATGAGAAGCATTTGGCTACAGTTTGTCGGTGAACAATGAAGTGGAGGCAAGCAGGGGGAGCTGGCATCCCGAGGAAAGCATAAAGAGCAGATACCGATGGATGAGCAGTGTGTGGTGTGGGAGGTTGGGAAGAGGACGGCAGTGCAGGTGTTCTGTGCAGCGAGGCTCTGCTGTTGCAGGAGATGACCATGCGCCTTGGGGGCAGTTACAGCGACTGCACAGAGGATGGCAGTGACGTGCCAGTGCAAAACCTGTACTCATCCCGCTACACCGAGCAGGTAACTCACAGTCACCCCTCCTCGCTTCTCCACTTTCCTGACATGCTTCAGCCCCCTAACGGCCATGCCTGTCCTTGGGCTCTGTTAATAGAGTGATGTGATACAGGCAGCAGTGGGGTTGGTTCCCTTGATCAGCCTTTTCCGCCTTATGTGCCTCCCAGGTCTGCATTCGCTCCTGCTTTCAGCTCAACATGGTAGAACGCTGTGGCTGTGCATACTACTTCTATCCCTTGCCCCACAGAGCAGAGTACTGTGACTACACGAAGCACAAAGCCTGGGGTAAGTGGGCAGCAGGGACAGTAGGGCTCGTGCCCACCTGAACCTGTTTGGTCCCATCATCTTCACTGAGCTTCCCGGTGTCAGACATCCAAATGACAGTCTTGCCTTGAATGATTAGCCTCTTGTGGAAGGAAACCTCTTCTGGGTTCCCCTTGCTGCCACACACCACCTTTTGTCTAAAGATACTGTGAGCTTACCTGGATTTACTTTCTTTGCTGTTCAGGCTACTGCTATTACAAGCTCCTGGCTGAATTCAAAGCTGACGTCCTGGGCTGTTTCCGCAAGTGTCGGAAACCTTGCAAGTAAGTTGATCACCAGTCAGGCAGGAAGATTGGAAAGTATTCCCAGAAGTGCTGGGAAGCATTCACTGATGGGCAAAAGCTCGAGTCAATAGCTGAGCCCCAGCCTGAAATGGTATTTCTCCCATCAGGAAGCCAAAATGGCTGAGGAGCATGTGGGTTGGCTTGGGGGTGAGCTCCCAAGGACTCTGCATTCCACATGGTGGGAAGTGGGTGGAACTTCAGCATGGGAGGGAATCTCCAGGTGTGCCTGAGGATGGTGAGACCTGGCCCTGTGGCTCCTACAGCTTCAACAGCTAACACAGCCTCCTCTTGCCTTGCAGAATGACAGAATACCAGCTGTCAGCTGGATACTCCCGCTGGCCTTCGGCTGTCTCAGAGGTAAGGGGGGGGTGTCCTGGCTTCCCAGCACTGCTCCCACTTCCCAATTAGTCCTTCCTCAGTGGGTACTAAACCTGCAGGAGGTGACTGTGATCATGTGACACAATTTATTGCACTTTCGTTTCAGGACTGGGTTTTCTACATGCTTTCACAACAGAACAAATACAATATCACATCCAAGAGGTGAGAGCCCCTAAACAGAGACTGTGTCCAAACCAGAAACCATCCCAATGGAATGTGTGTGTTGGAAATGTCAGAGTTAAGATTAAATCACTGATGGGAAGAGATCAGGCATGGGACCTGTGGACAAGGGCAGTGGATTTGGGTCAGAGTAGATACATAGCGAGCCTTCAGCAAGAACTGGGGACCCAAGTGAAAAATTTTGAAAGAGGTGAGATGCTGATATGAAAATAGTAAGCCCCACCACTTGCTGTATGTTCTGGGGTCACAGTGAGTGCTTGTGGAAAAGTGGGAAGGAGAGCTGTGTGGGAGCTTTTGCCACAAACTTTGGGTTTTACAGTACAGTGCCAGAAGTGCACTGTAAGTACCAAAGACTGTATTTAGTGCAGAATGAGAACTGCAGAGATGGGAGAAAGCCTCTGGGTAGTATGTGTGGGAGAAGGACAGGGGGCAGAAGGGGACAGAGGCAATTAGGCTTGGTGAAGAAATGTAGGGATTGAGGAGTTGGGGTTACTGAGCATCATGTCTCATTCACAGGAATGGAGTTGCCAAAGTGAACATCTTTTTTAAGGAGTGGAACTACAAGACCAATGGAGAGTCTCCAGCCTTCACGGTACACACTTTACTACCATGTCTTCTCTGGCCACCCATTCCCCCACGATGTCCCTCCACTGTGTCAAGCTTTTGTTCCAGCAGCATTGCTGGATATTGTCTCTTTTCCTTGGGCAGGGTGAGGGGAACCCCCCCAGCCCCACAGGGAAGAGGGAACAGGCAGGGAGGCAAAGTCCCAGATGAGGGCTGTTGTCACTGCTCTTTCTCCATCTCCTGCAGGTAGTGACTCTGCTGTCCCAGCTTGGGAACCAGTGGAGCCTCTGGTTTGGATCCTCTGTCCTGTCTGTGATGGAGCTTGCAGAGCTGGTTCTGGATTTCATTGCCATCACCTTTATCCTGGGCTTCCGCTGGTTCCGCTCTCGGCAGAAGCTGCCTCTGCCGACACCCGCTCTGAGCAGCCAGGATAACGCGGCTTTCCAGGATGAGGCACCAGCTCTCCACGCTCCACATCGCTTCACTGTTGAGGCTGTAGTGACCACGCTGCCACCCTACAACAGCCTGGAACCACGTGGGCCGAGCAGGGATGGTGAGGAGGGACACGAGTGAGGCAGCGGCTTCTCCCACCGTTCAGATGGCTGGCAGCTGGAGCAGAGGCTGCTCTCTTTGTCTGTGGGGCCTGTGTTTCCTTCTTTCTTCATGGACCATAGCAAGACTGCTCCATGGTTGGCCTGGGCTCATTGCTTTCACTTCTGTAGGCACATTCTTCAGTCTCATAAAATACTATTGCTGTGGGATCACCAGGGATGAGAGTTGATCTAGTGTATGTGTGGGGGAGATGTCCTCTTGATTTCCTTATGCTCTGTGCATGTGCACACCTACATGTGCAGGCATGCTTTCTTTTCCCTCCAACAAGGATGCTGCCACAGTTCTGGTCTGTCATTAATTAAAGAGGTTTGGCAGGTGTGACTGGCCTCCTCTGTGGTATGACAAGGAACAGGAATGGAGTCTTAGCAGGGGTACAAATCTCTCAACAGGCTGAGCTTCGTTAAGCTTTCCCTAAATCGGTTGCTCTTTCCTCATTCTTCATGAGCTCTCAAGCCTGTGTCACCTACCCTCTCCTCCCCTCAAGGAGAGGCCACTTGAGACAAGAGCCACTGGCACGATCTTAATCTGTATTACAATACACAGTGCTCTGGAGAGGTGCTTGAAGCTTGCTGCCACTCCCAGGTCAGGGACAAAACACCCTGGCAAAGTAAAGGCTCCCTTTTCAAGCTGCCTTTGTGCCATTGGCAGATCTTGGGTGTCCCCCCTTCCTTGGGATGCACCATACATGTGTATCTCCAGCTATTCGATTGTTTGATTTGCCCCAGAGCTGTTGGCAATCTCTACAACTGCTGGACCCTCCCTGCTTTCTTCCTGAGGGAAGCAGTTTGGCAGGATTATGAACACTCTCCAAAAACCCCAGATGTAACCTCTGCAGCAATGGGATCCTGCAAGAGAGGCTCAGAGCAGCGCAGGTCATGCAGTGCATGTTCTGTTCCTCCCAGCCCTTGTCTGGTCCACCCACAGAAACTCTGCTGAGCCTCTTGTTCCTGAGGGAAGCACAGGAAAGTACTGCAGGCTCCAATCAAAAGTGCTTCCAAGGAAAGCTTTAGCCATGGGCAAAAATGGTCCTCTTCTCAGGAACTAACTTGAGGACCTTTGTGTGAGAACACGTTTCTTGCAGTGAGCTTTTCTTACAAATACTCAGACTTCTGCTGCAATGGTGTTTGCTCTGCACTTTATGGGGTATCAAGAGAGCAAGGGTGATGTCCTTAAAAAACAGGATTATCCACTTCACAGGACAAACAGAGATACCAGAATTTAAGCAGTTTAGGCAAAGACCTGTGGAACCCTGTAACCACTCACACTGTGAACAGCCACTTTTGAATTTAAAACTAGTTAATCATAACAAAAGAAAAACTGAAGCTATTTTAAAATTTAAGGTAGATGCACTGCCCTTGGGAAGTTGGAGGAGTTTACTGTAGTATCTAAACTGTTGCCCAATTTTTCCCTTTGAGATGCTAAACACATGCTGGTTGTACTGCTCTTGCCTTGATTACCTAAAAGTATTTTCCAATTCCCAGCAGAGTGATTTTATTCTTCTTCACACACACACACAAATGCTATGTTCTTTATTGCACAAATATTCCTGGTTTTACAAATTTTATCCCAGTGTTCAGCTGATAACTCTTGTTTGAAAGTGGAGATAATGTCTCTCAGCTAGGAATAGAAGCTGGTAATTCGGGAGGTGTCCTTCAGCAAGGGTGGCAGCCCAGCAGGAGGGAGGGGCTGCAACAAGCACTTAGAGGTGTGGAAACATGAATTCCTCCTTGGAGGCCTCCATTAGAAAAAAACCCCAGAGCTTCTGCAAACATGAAAAAAATCCATTTTCTAAATGAAGTAAAAAAGAGTGAGCAATGAATGAAATCTCAAAATTTCAAAGTACCTCTGTGAAGGCAGTTTCATGTTCTGTAAACACAGCCCAAGAGGCAGAGGTAAAAGCTAGGTTTAGTTGCTGAAAGTAACTTTGGCCACAATTAAAATACAAAAGACAGGCAGATAGAGGAGCGAGGATGCTGCACCCAGTTCTTGGTCACAAATTCAGTAGTGCAGACTGATGCCTTGGGTGTTTTCTAGCACATGAATGAGCAAAAACCTGACACTGGACACAAAGCTGTTTGCTTCACAAAGCCACCTTCAAATTAAGAAAGGATAAAGAGCAGGTGCAACACCTTAAAACAGTCTTTGTATACCATAAACATACAGTAATTCATATGGTAAGCATGATATTTCCTCAGTATCCAAAGAATAAGACAATGCTTCACAGCACAGAACCATAAATAACCTTGCAGTAACCATCAAATTGATGAGACCTGCTGCATCATGCATAGTCAAGTGGGTGATTAAAGCAAGATTAATCAGAGGCATAACTACTTGAAACAGTAAGTTCTCTTCATCAGTAAAGAAATACAGCTGCAGAAGGCGGTGATGTATGCCCTGGGGGAAGCTTGAACCATGCCCTATCTGTTCCATAAAAGTGTTAAAATGCAAAAAAAATGGGCTTTGACTAATGAACTCAAAGCAATGGCACCATTCAGAACAGCTGTAAATCCAGAGTTAAAAGCCTGTACAAACATCAAGAAGCAGTTACACAAGTTGGCAAATAGATGAGCCCTCCCCATCCTGTGAATCAGTGCAAAAACTGCCACCTTGGGAGAAATCAGGTTCCAGAAATAATCCCTACATTTCTTGTAGGCTGGCAAGACCACAAGTGAGCTCAGCAGATGTATAGAGAGCTTGGTCTGGCTGAAAACAAGAGGCAAGGCCAGCAGAGCTGGAATGAGAGCCCAAAAAACAGGAGTGTTTCACTGGGAATGTGAAAAACTGAAGAAAAGGGAAGAAAGTATGCAGGGGTGAATATGTACAAGAGGAGAAGGTTGAGGGGATGTAAATGCTCAGTAGTCATAGGTGTGCTAGAGGCATAGCAGAGTCATTTTGAGGACATGGAAAACATGCAAGGAACAGCTGAAAGTTGTGTCTTTTTGGACTGGGAACAGATGACAAAACTATTGTTTTTCCATAAGAATTAAGGTAATAGAGGAAAGGCATGGAAGTACAACATAAGGGTCTAGGAAAGCTAGGAAAAAAAAAGAGCAAACCATCCCTTTGGAAAACAAACAATATATTTAGAAGAACTGAACCCTGCTTGCTGGAGGGCTTAAGAGAAGCTGGACAGATGGGTCAAGGACTGTCTGCACAGACTGAGGTCAAACCAAGAAGGAATTTGAAGAAAGGGTTACCAAGCTCTTGGGACAGGTTCAATAAAATCTGTGGGGTTAGATACTACATCAAGAAATGGAAAGGGCAGTAGTGCGGCTGGTGAAAGGACACAGGGGAACCACAGAGATCAGGAACACACCGGAGGCACAGCCACATTCAGTCACAGTTCTTTGTATTTAACAACATGCAATATTTAAAGGGGGCTTGTAAGCACAAGAGGGGAAAGTGCCTTCAGCTTCCAAGTCATGCTTAAAAGCAATGAACTAAAAAGAGCTTATAATCTTTATTAAATTCTCAATATGTTTATGGCAAATTTAGTTTTAAAAAATAGTACAAAGGCTTTTGGAAAAGAAGCCTCTGATGGAAGAGCATAAAGTGTCATCTAGTCCTCTGCAGAAATTATTCAGTGGGTCTGTGCACAGAAGGACCTTATGAAGCTGCTCATGGTTGAAAGCTGGGGAGCAAGTAAGGGTGCTTGAGTAAGTGTTGCACTCTATCTCAGGCCAAAAATAGGTCAAATAGTATCAGGAGTGTGGACGCTCAGGTACCCAACAGACATGGCTGAGCTGCCTATTTGTAAAACCTATATCCTTATCTGTTACATCTCTCAGGGCAATCACTTGTTTTGAGGTCAGAACAAAGACAAAACCTCCCCCTTATTACCTCTCTTAAGGCTTCAAGCCCCAGTGGATACATCAGAGCAGGGACCTCTGTCACTTCCCAAGGAAGCCAGGTTCATTAAAAAAGTGTTGATGCTGCAGTCCAGGTCTGAAGAAAATCTGTCTTCCCCACCATCATTTGGTTGCTCTCCAGCTGAGACAGCAAGTCCCACCACTGATGAGAGCCTGCACCAGCACAGAGACACCTCAGGAAAGGCCAGAACAATGCCTCAGGCATCTACAAATATGAAGGTTTAGGTACATCCACTCAGGAGCAGTACAGCTGAGGCTTTTCTTCCACCACATCTGAAGACGTCAGGATGAAGCAGTTGATATGGAAGCTGCATTTTATATGGAATGGTTTGGGTTGGAAGTGACCTTAAATATCATCTCAGCTCCAACTCCTTGCCACAGACAGGGACACCTTCCACTAGAGCAGGTTGCTCAAAGCCCCAACCAACCCAGCTCTGGACACCTCCAGAGATGGGGCATCCACAGCTTCTCTGGGCAACCTGTTCCAGCTCAAAGGCATGTTGAACATGTTCCGTGTTTAAAGGCACAGCTTGACTTTTTAATTAGACATACAAAGAACTATTCTCCCAAAGCCTTGGCCTTGCTTTTGGAGCACATTTAAAATCTTGTTTTGTCTGGGTAAGAGGGTGCAGGAGCAGCAGAAATTCTGATGCAGGTAAGGAGGGCACCTCAGAAGAGCTTCCAGTAGAACATATTTTCAATGCCTAACAGAGGATTTATGGCTAGATATGCAAGTCTTTGCAAACAGCCACAACATGACTCATGAACTGGGCTCAACCCTGGGGCAACTTTCAACAGTATGCTCAGCCCCAGCTCTGTGCTCCAGAGCAGCTGCCAGCTTTGGAAAATGAGCATTCAGTCCCCAGCTTTGGCTAGGGACTTGGACACTGCATCATCAACAGTCCAAAAGTGCATCTGTCCTCTGAAAACATCTTCCCTATCCCCCTACATGAGTGAGGCTGAGAACTGACAGGAACGCAACACAAAACTTGGCAGGAATTGTAGCACAACTCGTTTGTTCAGGTTGTGCAGGCCTGAACTGTGTGGAATTTTAGACTGTACCTGCTGCTTTAATCCACCAGCCAGTCCAGACACCCTCCTTTCCCAGGAGGGCTTCCATCTTTGAAGAATTAGTCTAGCTGCCTTCCTCCAAATTCGCCACTGAGAGTTGTTCCAGTGTGTTCACTGTGATTTTGGTGATGTTTAAGACTGGATTATCCCAAGATTGATCATAAGGGAACCAGAAGCCACATGGAAGACTGTTTTACAACCTAGCTTTTGTAGCAATAAGGGCAGATAAGGGCACAAGTACCTAATTTTAAAAGAAGTCTGCACTGGACAAAGCTCTGTCATTTCCTTTTAATGAGTTTCAAATGTACAGTGAAGCAAAACAAAGAGGCACTTACCTTTATTCCAGTCATGCTCCAAGATATATTGTGAACAGCACCCTACTCTTGGAGAGCTTCTTTTGGGTCCTGAACTTGTATTCCAACACCAATGGAGAATTATTTTCTGGGTTTAAGGATCTGAGGTTACTGAAACCTAAAGGCAGCACAGCCTGAGAGCCAGAGCTGCCACTAACACAGTAGTGTACAGAAGGCAGTCCCCTGAGCAGGACAGTGGCTGGACATTTGGTGGCTGAAGGCAGGCTTGGCTGGGCAGCCTCTTCCCCCAGAGCTGCTGGTTCCCACATCTTGTTACAGACTTACCAGAGTCAGTCCAGCACAACTGGAACTACCTTCATTTACAATGGAAAACCAGCCACTGCTTTGAGGGACAGAACTTCAGGTATGTGCATGCTATGGAAGTCACAAAAAAAAAAAAATTCCAACAGTTTGGCATCCCAACCCCTTCACGCTCACTGACAGACCAGACAGACTCAGTAAGGTGGTGAATTGTGTTTCTTAGAGACCATTAAAAGTACATGAGTTGATTTCTAGAACATGCCAGAGGAGATTACAGTTGTGTTTATAGAGGAAGTAAACAAACTGCACGTGCATGAGTGGCTGTGATGCTGTGGGCAGCAGAGTCCCTTGCTTTTACTAAGAGGGCCTTGGTGATTTGTTTTGCCCATGCACAGACACACAAAGGAGGGGAAAGGGAGCAGAGGAGGAGGCAACATACAACAGCAAAGAGAAAGAAATGAAAGAGACAGCCTAGGGGGACCTCAGCTCCCAGAGAGACAGGAGGAATGGGACACCAAAGGCTTGTTTAGAAGAGTTTGAGAGAATTGCTGGTCTGGGGGCCTCGAGCTTGTAAAAGCCTACCCCCTAAAATGAGAGCAGTAGCAGGCACAAGCAGGCCCTGGCTCCTCTTCAGCAGATGCACTTCTGACGGTCCATCCCATCTCAGTTCCACAGGGAATTAGGGAATGCTCAGGGGACGAGGGCTGCTCCACTCCAGATCTTCATCTCTGCCCTCCCCCAAGGCGGAGAGGAATGGAATTGCAGGGAGATGAACTCAAATGAAAATGCTAGGGCATGGAAGTGAGCATGCAAAACCTAGCCCCTTGCCAGGTGTCCTGGGAGGCAGAAAGGGGTGTCCCCAGCACAGCCAGTGAAACAAAAAGCATCTGCTCCTGCCATCTTTTGTACTTCGCTCCTATCTGGGAACTCCAGTGACGTCCTCCCTGCCTCCTCTTAGGCCAAAACAGATCCCAGTGCATTCCAGAACAGAGGCAGAGCTTTCCAAATTAAAGGAGTACCCTCTTTCCAGTCTAGATTACAGGCTACAGCTCAGCTTGTTACAAAAAGTTAAAAGACAAGATACACATTCCTCAGAAGACTCCACAGAAACAGGGCAGCTCATTTAACCCACATCTGACAACACATGCAAACAACTCACAGCTCCTGTTACTTTTGATGGAGAAGAACGAGGGAATTGCTCACAGAAAGCCACAGACACAAGTTTACTTCCATCAGAGACCACCCTGGACCTAAATTCAAGAGAACCCACAGCAAGTAGGAGGATTCAGTTCGATCAGCAAGATCTCTAGGGGCGTAAGTTGGCAAACTGGAAAATCTGATGTCACTTTCCAATATCCATGCCCAGAGTATCATTCCCCTTTGAATCCCCAGCTAACCATTTCAAGTGTTTTCTAACTCCTGCTGAAAGTTAGGGCTTTGTGGCAGCAGAAACAGAGCAGATATTCTTCATCAGAAAGCTGTGCAGCTCATTCAGCCTCATCTGGAATACCTCCAGCCCCTTCACCTCTATCTGCTATGGCAGTGAGCTTCCTCGACGTTCAGCCCAGTCACACAAAAGCAAAACACCAATTCCCAGTCTGCCACTACTCCAAAGTCTTCCTTCTGGAAAGCTACAAGACAGTAGGAAGCTACAGGGTCCTGGCTTGTGTGTGCATAGATGAAAGGCATATTTGACACTCCCCACCAGACTAATTGTCGTTCATTTGTTCCTTGTGGAGAGAGACTTGACTCCCACACATCCTTTTAGATAGCAGCAATGCCCCTTTCACTTAACTATGTTTAGCCTGTTGCACTTGACTGAGGTAATCATGTAGGCCCTCCTTTATAAAAACTGAAATGGCCATGTTCAGGCAGCAAGTCATCTGGAAATAAGGACAGGCAGAAAAAAATCATTTCTTCAAGTGCTCACCTCTCCATGGCTAGAGAAACCTACATCACTACGTGTAGCTTAGATGGCTCACAGCCACTGGCCAACACAAACCAGCTTTTATTTCAGAAGCTCGATGAAAAGCTCAAGTCATGCTGCCACTCTTTTTAGGCAGAACACTAAAGGCTCTCACATGCTGAAGTCCTTCATCCCAAAAGGCACTGTGTTAAGGCATTCTTATTTTGCTAGAGTTCACACAGGCACTATTTGACAAGCTTACACCCAAAAATAAACACAAAAAGTTCACTGCAGAAGAGTAGGAGCAAATAGCTACCCACTCTTCCTCAACTTCCCTTTCCTCTAAACTTAGAGGATGCTCCCCAAAGCTGCAGCAGCTATTGAAAAATCTACCTATGTTAAGTAAGCAGCTCAGAATCCTATACAGGAGATAAATTGAAATCAATAGGGAAATTAATGAAGAAGCTAGGTGAAAGGGAAGGAAAGGAAAAATTCAGAGGCAAGAAGAGACAGGCAAGGTAACAGGGGACAGGAGGTTGCAGACTGAAGGAGCTACATTTAAGTAAAAAAGTAGACTGGAGACAAAGCAATGGAAAAAAGAAAAAAGGAAAGAACAAAAGGGCAAGTTACACCAAAGGTCCCTCAGAGAACTCCAAACCACCCACCAGGGAAGGAACTTGCCAACCCACCCACTCCAGGGTAAACGCCCCTCATACTTACAGCTTTGTCTGACCTGGCAGGCAGAATTTCCCATTTCTACAATGATGGCATTCCCCATTCCTCATATTACTAGGTAAAGCATATCATTTCCACACTAAGTGAGGGAGTTCCAGCACTTCTACCTCCCTTTCCCAAAGACTGGAGTTGACACTTATGCAACTAAGACCCTCAAGCTTTCAAAACAAAAAGGAAAAGTTTAAAGTGCTCTAGAACTGGTGTTTCCTCACCTTGGAGCCTGAGGTTTTTGGTACTTACTTGCAATCACCACCACCACAAGGGCACCAATCACTCCCATCATGATCATCATCTGAAGAAAAAAAGATTGTCCAAGAGCAATACTCAGAACAGATTGACAAGCTCCCATTCTTCCTGACAGCCAGAGAACCCAAGCCAGGCCCAAAGGCACGGCAGCCAAGGCCTCAAAGCCTTCCCACAGCAAAAGAATCTTAAGCATTTGAAATCTCTACTTGAAAGCTCTGCAGGAGAGGAGTAGCCCAGTCCCCTCCTGACGAGGAGATGGTGGCGCTGGGAAACCCACCTTGCAGTTCTTCCACCAGTACTTCCTTTTGAGTTTGGCCGCGCTGCTCTCGAACACCGAGGCGCCGGCCTGCAGCGCGTCCGCCCGGTCATCCAGCTCCGACAGCTTCTCGTCTCGCTGCAGCACCTTGTCCACGTTCACACACATTATATCAACCACCTGCAGGAGAACAACAGTGGCAGCAGTTCTACGGGTAAAGACAGCTGAAAATGTAAGAGGAGTTATTTAGCCAATAACTGGTGTGGCAATATTAACAACAAAAAGCATGAACAAGGGGGAGAGGAAAAGATCAGGAAGAAGTAATTTCAAGTCACTGCCTACTCTGGAATGAAAAAAATAAAATCGGAGAGTCGCTGTTAAAACATCACTTCAAGTACACTTCAAGCAGGTCCTCAGCCTCACATTCTCATCTGCTTCTAAGAGCGCTCCGTTCCAGCAGCAAGCCAGAGCCACCCTCGCTGTGAGAGGAGTCAGGGCTCGCTCCCTCCCCGGGAGCTGCGGAATGACCGGATCGGCTGCGTGCGGCTGCCCCGCTGAGGCACAGGGGTGCCACTGCCCGCCAGCAGCCCAGCCACCGACTCCGATCCCGGGGAGCCAGGCAAGGGCTCCCCCACATCCCTGCACACAGCGTCCCCCTGAAGCAGCCCGCAGGGATTAAGAGCTGGCCTGGATGCTGTACAGCTTTATTCCCATAAGAGATGCGCCATAACGAAGTACCAAAAGAATCTGGCAAGCCCGGCTCTTGGAAGTCATATCTGGAATTAAGTGGCTTTTAAACATAAAGCAATCTCTCCTCCAGCCTCTTTAATAGGTTTGCCAGTCTATTTTTGAGTATGGGGCATTAGTTAATTTCTGGCTTTGGCAGAAAGGAGCCGCCCCTCAGCGGCAGACCCGGGCGAAGAGCATCGCTGCAGCAGAGCAGCGGGAGCGGAGCCCAGGCATCCCCCGGGGCTGGCAGCCACTGACCTCCTGCACCTGGGCCTGCGTCTGCTGCAGCCGCCGATTGCTCGTCAGGTTCGGGGGAGCCCCGGGGGGACCCCCACCGGGGGCTGCCCCTTCGGGAGCGCCTCCTTCGGGAGCCCCTCCTTCGGGAGCGCCGGGAGCAGGCTGCTGAGCTGGGTCAGACCTAAGGGAACACACACATGAGCGAAGAGAAAACTCAGCCGCTCCAGAGGGAACCCCCAAATCCACACGGACCCCAGCGTCCCCAGGCTGCAGCAGCCTCGGGAGCTTGCAGCCTGCCTGGATCCCGCCGGACCGGGGGGACCAGGCAGTCACCGGGCTGGGAGCAGCGGTGGCCGCCGGCCAGGCTGGCTCCAGCTGGGGCCCCGCACATCACCACTGGAGCCCAGCCCACGCCCCCACGCCCCCAGCGGGGCAGCAGGACCGCCCGGGGGCGGTGCGGGCAGCCCTGCCCGCGGCTGCTGCAATGCGCCACCCGACCCCACCGCCGCCGGCCCGGCCGGGACGCGGGCTCCGCGCTGACCCCCGGCCCGCACGCTGCCGCTGCCGCGCCACCCCCGCGCCGCGCCCGCCGCGGCTCGCCCACGGCCCGTGGGCGGGCGGACGGACGGACACTCACATGGCCGGGCCGAAGGCACCCGCGGGACACCGAGCACCGAGCTCCGCACCGACAGCCCGGACCCCGGACCCGCACTTATAACGGCGGGGCCCCGCCCACGGAGCCAGCAGCCAATCAAAAGTTGCTCCGCTGAGAGCCGCAGCTCGGCACCGCCCCTGGGCTCCTCCTCAGCCAATCAGCGCTCCGCGCCCTGCGGGGGGAAAAAGGCCCCGCCCCCTGACCCCAACAGGGCAAGCCCCGCCCCGTCGCGAAACTGTCCAATAGGAGCAACGCCCTGCGCCCCGCCCCCGGTCTGGCCCCGCCCCTGCGGAGGTCCCGCGGTGCCCGGTCCGGGGGTGCCCGGCGCTCCCTGCGCCCCGCCGGGCCCGCTCCCGATCCACGGCCCCGCTCCCTGCGCCCCGCCGGCCCCGCTCCCGAGCCGCGGCCCCGCTCCGCAGGGCCCGATCGTGGGCACCTGCCCCGTTCGGTTTTCCTCTTGGAGCGCAGCCCGGCTGGCGCTGCTGTGGCGGGGGCTGCGGAGCGCTGCCCAAGTCCCGGCTCCGCAGTGTGTCTTGGCTCCGGTGACGCCGCTGTCCTGGCAATTAAGAGATGGTGTCGCTGGCCCACCTCCAGCATAGAGCGCGTCATGAAAGGGAAGCTGAGCAAGACCCGACCGAGCTTCTGCAGCCTGCTGGGAGGAATGAGGCTCACACAGCAGCCCTAAGAACGGCAGTGTGTTTGGGGTTTTTCCATCTAAATATCTGGAGAAGCCTGCTGGATCAGAAGGGGAGATTCTCCAGCTCAGGACAGAAAAGGGGGCAGGAGTGTACTGGAACAAGAACTCTTCATACAGAATTCGGCATGGTGAGTAGAGAGTGACAAGCGTAGGCTCACACTTACACTACCTTTTCCTTCCATAACACGATGCAGGATGTTCATGTAAGTGGTGAGTAGAGAGTGACAAGCATAGGGTCACACACTACCTTTTCCTTCCATAACACGATGCAGGATGTTCATGTAAGTTTTTAGTGTCAGTTCTCACAGATTATCAGGTACACAAGACAGGTAAGTTACAGATTACAGCACGGTAACTACAAGATCATGGTTAAAAGGTGAATAATGCAGCACTGTGACTGGAGACAGGTGATTTGCAGACAGGAGCAGTCCAGCACTGACCTCAGAACTCCAGGGTTTTACATGCTGCCCTCAGACAGAAGGCACAAGTTGAGGAAGAAGCTTCTGTAGCCTGGCAGCCTTTCCACTGCAGGCTGAGGACCATTCCAATAACCACTGCAAATACGTTTGAGCTTATGGAATTAGTGGCCACAGAGCTTCTGCCAGGCTGGTGCTTAGGGATGAAGAGATGACAAAGGGTACAAGATACACTCTCTGATACTTTTCCAGTTTCTGACATATTTTCAGTCAAGGATTTGCTATACCTGCTCAGTCTCCACTTGGATCTGTGCAAGCTTCCTGAATCCACACCTTTTGGTAAGTCCCACGGGTCTGTCACCCTGCCACTGAAAACGTGGACTTCAGCTGTTCAAACAGAGAGTTTGCCTTCACTTTCCTCAGGCTCAGGCCCAAAGTTCTTTCCATTCCTTCCCTGCCACTTCCAACCAAACGTTTTTGGAGACAGAGCAGCACTGCTCTGTAGCAAGATACATCAAGTCAGCAGATAACTCCCTAATTACTTAGCAGCTAAATTAACAACTAAGGCAAATACTTGCTCATCTAAATGGATTTTTCCCAAGTGTACAGTGCTGTGATGCTGGACTAGAGGGATGCCAGCTGTGATTCACTGTAACCTCTCCTCTAAAGGAACTGGCAACAGTTATGGAAAACTAGAAGCTAGAATTAAAAAAAAAAATAATTTACATACCTGAATTACTTTGTAAATCCTGCCTAAATTATAAACAAAAGGCCATTTGGTCATTAAGTGTCATTAGCAGGGGGTAAAGTCATCATGAGTGTGGAATGAGGCAAATCCCATTCTTAAGACAATTCTGATGCATTTCAGCTAACATTTGGATCATTCACACTTAACCACAGATGAGTGGAGGGCAAGGGGAAAGCCTTGAGCAGGAAAACATATCAGTAGGACCTCATGCCATTAATTTGAAAAATTTGACTATGAAGAAAAATCTAAGCTGTTGAATACTGGAATTATCATGTGAGCTGTGTGAACCCGGGGCTCAGAGATTGAAAGGATGCTCAGGACCTCGTGGCACTAATTTGAAAAATTTGACTATAAGGAAAAAATCTAAGCTGGAGAATACTGGAATTATCATGTGAGCTGTGTGAACCCGGGGCTCAGAGACTGAAAGGATGCTAGAAGCTTGGCCAAAAAACCAGAGGAGCAGAGGGTCAAGTTCAGGGATGCAGGCTGGAACAGATGCCTGCAACAAGTACGTCAGAAATGAGTGAGGGGGCACAGAGGAGCTCAGGCCTGGAGCAGCAGCAGGACCTCGGCACTTGGGTGGAAATACGCAGCAAAGGCTGTAGAAAGCACTGGGAACTCAACCGTGTGGAAGCTGGCTTTATTCTGACTGCAACGCCACAAAACTACACTCCACGGGCCGAGGCCACCGCTGTTGCCTAGCGGTGCTTGCCGGTGCGATTGAAGCGCTTGTACAAGTAGCGGATCCTCTTGTTGAGCTTGTGATAGTCCTCTGCAAACATCCGATCGCCCACCATCTGCTTCTTGCGGATGCACCTCTGCAGCTCGTTCCCCCGCCAGCCTCGCAGCCAGGTGGGCCCCATGATGAGACTCTTGGGGTGGATCTGGAAGCCGCCTGAGAACGGGAGAGCGGAGAGATGAGGGCAGGCACTGCGGAGGGCTGTTCCCGGGGCCGGCCCCGGTGCTGCCCGCAGGTGAGTGCAGCCTCGCCAGGGGGACGCGAGTCTTACCCAGGATGCCCACGTTGTCATACACCCCGAACAACGCCCGCTTCTTCGTCCACCGATCTACCGGCTTGCGCTTGGGCGGCTCCTTGATGCGGATGGGCCGGGAGAGCCCCGCCAGGGGCGAGGACAGCGGCACGGGGAGGCCGGGCCGCACGGGCGCCCAGCGCGCCCCGCCGCAGTCGCTAAAGCTCCGCTGGGCGCAGGGCAGGGGAGCGGCACGGCCCAGCAGGGCCCGGCCCGCCGCTCGCAGCAGCAGCGATGCCGCCGCGGCCATGGGGTGACCCCCGGTGCCCCGGGTCGGGACGGGACGGGACGGGAAGAGCGGCGCCGCCGCCGCGCCGCCCCTTCCGCCGCGGGGCGCAGGGGCGCGCGGGTGACGCTGCGCCAACGGTCGGGAGGGCAGGGCAGCCGGCGATTGGGCGAGGGGCCGGCGCGCGGCGCAGCCGCCGGGCGCTGATAGGCCGGTGGCGGGAAGGGGCGGGGCGAGCGCGGTCCGCGCGCGCTGTTTCGAGCGCCCGGGGCCGTGCGGGGCTGTGGCAGCCATGGCGGCGGCCCCGGAGTTCCACCTGCCCCTCGCTGCCGCCGATCTGCTGCGCGATGGCGGCCCCGGGCGCTACGTGGTGCAGGAGGTGCTGGCGGCCCGCGATCTGCCGCCCGCGCTCGCAGGTAAGGTGTCCCTACAACCCCTTCCTGCTCGGGCCCGGCTGTGCCGCCGGCTCACGGGCATCGCCCCCGGCTCTCTCCGTGTTTTGCCGCAGCGTTCCGGGCCGCCTTCCGAGCGCGGGGCGCGCTGGCCGTGCTGCAGCACTTCGACTGCGTGTACAGCGTGCTGCAGTGAGTACGGGGCGGGGACGGGCCGCAGCGGCGGGCGCTGTCCGCTCTCCCCCTCACGCCCTGTGTTTGTCCCGCAGCCACTTCCGAAGCGCGGGCACGGCTGTCAAGGAGGACGCCCTGGAGCTGATGAGGCACGGTGGGTACCCGCTGTTTGCGGGACTGACAGAGAGGTTGTTTTCCCTTGGCAGCTCAGTGATGATGTAAAGGCTAATGTGACTCGGCCAGCTGGGCTGCACCCTCAGCCCGCTCCTGTCGTACGGGTCTGTAATCTTGGTGGACGATGCTGAGTTGTGCATGTTCGCTGTAAGGGCAGACCGACAGAAAATCCTCATGCCCGTGTCCCTGGGAAATACATCTGTGGGATGTATCAGCTCAGAGGGAGTGTTTCTCTGAGCTGGTGGAGGGCTGTGGGGATAGGACAAGACAGCATGCCCGAGGACTGGGTTGCAGGGGGCAGCCCGTGTTACAGCTGGTGAGATGTGAGCACACATCTTTGGTAATCTGATGGCTGCTCTAAGCTTCCCAAAGAGAGGATGGCTGAGGGACCTGGCAAGGAGTGCTCATGACTTTCTGCTTCTCCTCAGTGATGTCCCATCATGCCAATGAACTTCCCACTATCTTGAGCGACTCTGAGCTGAGCCAAGCAGACCGTGCTGCTCACCTCAACGCTCTGAAGATGAACTGCTATTTGCTGACTGGCCTGATGGATGCCTTTGAAATAGAAACCTGCAAGAACAGCTCTTTGGAGGCAGATCCTAGTAGGAAGGTAGGTGAAGAGACTGGAAGAAAGATAATAAAAGTCAGAACAAAATTTTAAGCTTGCTGAACTCTCTAGTATTTGTCACATTTTATAGCTGAGTTTATATAGACATGATGCCATTGAGAGCAGTCCATAATGTGGAGCACTGGTGCGTCTGTGAAACTGCATGGAAAACAGCAAAGGGACTATTGTGTGTCTAAATATCAGAAGGGACTTGGATGCCCAGACCTTTCTATTTCATTCTTGAGTTTCTGGCTGGAACTTAATGTGCCAGTATTTTCTCAATGTCTCCTTTCTGTGATGGCAGTGCATGCAGGTATAATCCTTAAACCACAGGAGACACTGGTGCTGGCTTGAGCTGAGAGAAAGAACTGGGGGAAAAAGCCCCTGTGATCTCACACTTCTTGCTGGTGTTTTGTCTGTTGTGAAGCTGCTGATATATCTCACTGTGTAATCTCCTTTCTAGAGCAGGAAGAACCAGGCCAAGACTTCTGGATCCTTGTGGGAAGAGGAGAGGGAGCCGCTTTTACAGCTGCTTACACAGCTGCTGCAGCTGGATCTCCGTCAGCTTTGGGGTGGTTTAGCAGTGGAAGAAGAGTTTGTCAGGTATGAATTGGAGCAGGTGTATTGGTG